ATTTGTATGTATATATATATATATGTATATATATATATATATATATATATATATATATATATATATATATATATATATATATATATATATATATATATATATAAAGGATTATAAAAAATAACTACAAAATTACAAGTAAATTGGAACTATTAAGTTTAAACATTTTATTTTCAAGAGAATATTTACTACATAAAAACTAAGATTTAAAATAAATAAAGAAGTTATAGTTTTTTCAAAGTGTGAAGAAAAGAAACTTAAAATATATGGGCATAGCTGGCATTTAGGAAGTATAATGACTCTTTGGATTCAAGTGTTATGTGACCAAAAAAGAACCTTCGAGTCCAAAGTACGCAACGGCCTTTTTAGACATATTTTACCGAACCATTATTATTTTTTTTTTTTTTACGCTTTACATTTTCAAAAGTGTTTTGTCTAAATATTTATTTACTTATTTAACAGGAGAAGGACAAAAAGGCCACTTAAACTGGGGGGGGGGGCTTGCTGCCTGGTCTACATTTTTGCGTTGCTATCTGAAATCGCCAAGTACAAATCCAATCATACAAACGCATAGCAGCTGTGGTAAGGTCTGACTAATAGCCCCGTATATTGTAACTGTAATATAGTTTTATATCATCAGCAAAAGTTTAAAGCTCTTTATATATGTCACTGATATTTGATGAATAATAAGAACACTGATCATTGATGAATAATAAGAATAAAATAGATCCTAGAACATTTTCTTGTGGAACAACACTTATTAAAGATATTGTGTGAGAAGAAACATTGTTTAAACTACTTGACAGCTCATATGTAAAAAATTGGTTATCCAAATCAGAATACTGCCAATTATGACATATGGGGACCACTAAATTTTGGTCCAGTAGATGTATTAGGTTCATATGATCTTAACGTTTTTTCTCCAGTAGATAGAGAGAATTTTATCAATGACAGACAAGTCATAAAATTTAATGATGAACCGTTATCAACGGTTTAGACTTTTGCATAAAAAGTCATTAAAAACACCAGATATTTATTTTTTTATTTTTTGAAAGAGTATTATTGGATCGATGAATCTCAGTCAGTTTACTATTCGTTTTATTTTTATTACTTACAAAATTAAAGAAACTAACAGGATTGTTTTTACATATCAGCTTTAGTTCTTTTGCTGCATGATATGTTTTAATGACATGAAAATATTTTGAGGCGATTGATATATAAACTTTGTCGTCAGGTTGATCTGAAATTTTTATTTTTTTCCATGCATTTGCTTTGTCTTTTATTAAGTTTTTAACAAAACTAGGATAGTGCATTTTATGTGTTAATTTATGTGCTCATTTTTGATTTGATCTATACGTTGTTTAATAATGTTGTTTAGTATTGCAGTAAAGGTGGGCAACCTTTAATATTATTACATAGTAGAAAAATAGTGCTCCAGTGTAATGGTTTCAAAGATTCATTGATAGCCTGGGAATTTGCATTTGTCTAACTGTAAAGTTGCTGAACAGGAGTTTTATCATTATAATGCAGGCATCTCAAACTAGGAGTAAATAAAATCACAAGTTCCAATCAATGGTTTGATGCAAAGATCCGTGATAAATGTAGAAGAAGTTCTCAAAATGAGATCTAAGATGTTTTCGTGAGTAGCTTAATCAATATACTGACTAAAAGTAAAGTTGTTTATAAAACGTAAAAAAAGTTATTAGTAACACTGTCTGGACCACTATAATAGTGCCAATATAAATCGGGAGTGTTAAAATCCCCTAATATGACCACAGCTTTAAAAAATGAAACACAACATAGAAAAACATTTAACTCATAGTCGATAGCTTTTTTCCACAACCACAACTACAACAATAACCAATAACTCTGAGTGTTTGACCATCAATGGTCAGACATTCAGTTAAGCTTCTTAAGAAGCTAAGGCAAGTTCAAGTTCTACTTCTCTCTCGTTTTAAATTCCTCGTCTGTCTTCTATTTACGCATTTTGTTGCAAAACTTATTATGTAAACTAAACAGAACGCCCAAAACATTTTATAAATCAACCGAAGCAATTCATGCATTTATTTTCTAAATGTCTGCATTTCAACTTCTTTGTTACCACTTAAAATTGGTACTGGTAAAACCAGAAAACCAAATCATCTGGATTTACTTTTGATTATTCAACAATAAAAACTTAAATTTATATTTCCTTATGTCAATGTTGTTTCAAGGATATTTCTTTATTCTGCTTTTAAAAACTATGCCGTTTTATACATTTCAATTTGAAGAACGGCTAAAGCGTACAGGTGTTTCTGTCCATTACTAGACCTACTTGCAATTCTTCACCTCTTTTAAAGTTGAAAAAGAAGTTTATAATTATTCAAAAAATTTAATTTATTTTATTGATTTACTTCAGTAAACCAATAAAAAATCAAAATTTAATTTACTAAATCAATCAAAACTATTTGATTGATTTGCTATAGCAAATCAGCAAAATAAACTAAATCTTATAAGTAATTATATTGTCCTTTTTTAACTTTAAAAGAGGTAAAGAATTTATATAGGTCTAGTTGTGAACAGAAACACCTGTACGCTTTAGCCGTTCTTCAAATTAAATTAGTTTTTCTAAAAGAAATCATTGCAGAAGATGCGACTGATCACTTCGCTGATTAAAAACGCCGCGATAAAATTAGGACAAATGAATCTACTTAATAATGTAATAATGAAACCTAAATGAAATTTAGAGATATCTATGTTTTGTTTTACCCTATTAAATTGTTTTAAATATATATAAATGCAATGATCTGACTGTTACTTGGTTATTCTTCAGATTAATTTATTATAATCACATTTGTTAGTTTTTGGTCTAATGCAGTAAGACTTATTATGTAAACTAAATAAAAAAAGTCGCGTTGAAGTACGAAATTTTTTTTCTGGGTGACTGTTGGCGGTAGTAGGTTGGTAGTGAAAGGTTAAAGAGGCCACAACCGTTATTTTGCTTCGGGGTCAGGATGACCTTAGAATGGACCTGTATATGCATACAATACCAAATAAATCTGTATTATGTTGCATCTACAAATTGCATCAGTATTATAAAATAAAATAACACCATACGTGTTTTAAGTATTATACAAGATAAATAAAGATGTTGTGTCAATTTAAAAGCCATTAAACAAATAAGATAAATCAAAAATTTTTAAAAATAGGATAGTTAAAAAAAATTTTTTTTATCGAAATCAAATAAGTGTTATTTGTTGAATCTTTTCCTTAAAAATTCACTTGATAATGCTTTTTTAATTCTATAGAATTGCTAGATCTAGCACTATATTGCTAGCATAGAATTGCTAAATCTAGCACTATTATGCTAGCATAGAATTGCTAGATCTAGCACTATATTGCTAGCATAGAATTGCTAGATCTAGAACTATATTATATCTAGCACTAAATTGCGCGTTTTGAAGTTTGTTTTATTTCTTTGTTTATTCGGCTCTTTCTTTTTAAAAAAAAAAGATGTAACGTCTGACACCGGCTACGCAACCGTCATACGTTAAATATAGATAATTAGACGTTTCCTAAAATATTACCAACAAAGTGAGTTAAAATTAATGATACCATTGGCTGAAATAGATTATTTCTCAGTTTTGGAAGAATAATGCCAGAAGTTGATCTATTATCCATAAGATGACGGAACAAATTTATCTTATTTTGTTAAATGCATTTTGATATTTCTTGAAATTTAAATAAGGAGTTTTTCCTCTAAACACTAAATGTAACTCTATTAAAGGTACATTTAGTGTTTAGAGGAAAAATTCCTTATTTAAATTATTTTAAATTAGAGGCTCTAAACATAAGGATTTTACGTACGGGTCTAATAATAAGGATTTTACGTACGGATTTAACGCACTCCTTTCAATTATTTTCATTAATCATTAATACATTTTAATAAAATAATTAATCATAATTTCATTATTAATTAATGAAATTTCATTATTAATTTAAATTTTAATTAAAATGATTAATAAAAATTTATAAGATTCATTAATTTAATGGGTCATTGTTTTTATACAACTCCATACAATAAGATTCCAGATTAGATGAAAATATAACTTTAGTAATAATAAAGTTTCATCTAATCTAAAATCTTATTGTATATTTAAAACTTTGTGACAAAGTTTTTTCCTTATCCAATAATATTATTATTTGACAAATTTTTATGCGAATGGTTGTTTGTTATTTTTTATTGTTAATAAACAATTGTTGTTTATTAACAATAAAACATAACAAATACCCACTTGTCAGAAAATTTTATATTTTAAATATTGTTTTACACAAATTTAGTTATTGAAAAACTTTTCTTAAATTTATTCTAAACATATTTTAAAAAATAGTTAATTTTACTAACTTTTCTTATTTATTGAGTTAGTTTACTTGCAGACTTATTAATTAAATATTTAATTCTTAAGTAATTTTTAACTTTTTACATAATACTTATTTTTAATTGTTTTTTTTTTTCCTTTCTAATATTTAAAAGAACACAAATGAAAGCATAATAGAGATTTAAGTCTCAATTTACTGTAATAGTATCAAATCCAAAATATTTTTGGTTGAAATATATAAGTTATGTATGGCTGAAACTAGATTAAAAACACTTGAACACTAGATTAAACATTTGAGTGTTTGAACAATGTAACATTTAAGCAATATGTTGGGTTAATTATTGCATTAAAACCAGTTTCACGCATGGTCTGATGCATAATAAGCAAGCCAGAGCATGTTTTTTTTCCCCAACAAAACACATGTTTTATGTAAATGCTTGGTGCTGGATGCAGTTACAAACTAGCTGATACAGAGCTTCCAATTCAGAATTGTTGTAGGCGCTGTTTGTGCTATTAATTTTCTAGTTTCTCGTTTATTTTATGAATTTTCTAGAAATTTTAATCCTTTTTTAGAACAATGTTTCTGCTATTTTTCTTTTCGCTCAGACTTTTGTTTTTACCACATCCTTTTGACAAATTATTTTTAATTGTAATAAAAATAAACTCTTGAAACATAATTTTTTTGGCAATAATTGATTGTTAAACTAAGATTCTGAATAATATGTTAAGGATGCATGCAGAATTTTTTGTTGTTTGAAAGCTAACTTCCCAATAAGGAACAAACTCCAAACATTTATATGTTTATACTTATGACAAATAAGGATGCTTGACAATAAAATTGCAATTATTGGAGTCTGGGAACAAAAAGCCCTAAATGCCCTTTGGCCACAATTGATCCAAATGTAAGAGCAATAAGTTTTTTTTTTAACTGTTCTCAAGTAATTAGTTTTTTTACTAAATTTTTATTTAACCATTTTTTCACTAATTACTAACTTTTTTTGTTTAGGAATCATCTATAAAATATGTACACTTTGATAGAAGAGTTAGGGTCTGCAAATGGCGTATAGGAGATAGGGGGCAGGGCCAATTATAAAAGTAAGGAGATACTAAACTAAGAAAAGTACCATAAAATGTTGGGTAGGTAGGTTAAAAGTGTAGGTACTTTTAGAGAGGCGGAGTGTACTCAAAAAAATGCACAACAAAATGGGGTTGGGTAGGAAAGAGAGGGTTGAGAAAAAAGCGTACATACTTTATGGACAACCCCTTATTGATACTTAAGTTTTTACTATTACTGAAGTATTATTTAAGTATATATAAGTTTAATATTACTTAAGTATTTTTGGAAGTAGCATAATAATGATTAATTTTCTATTTTTTATAAATTTTTAGAAAAAGCTTTATTTATATAATTGTGCATTATTATAATTGTGCAATATGGCTTCTAAAGTGCTTTATCTTAATGGGTTTGATGAGTTAAACAATTTGATTGGATATCTTAAAATTGATCGTAATCATTGTAAAATTGAAAGAAAGAAAAAAAATAACGAGGTAGTTTATTTTACATCAAAGTTAGATATAAAAGCCTTTAAGTAAATTCTATGATATAAAATTTATTATTTTAGATTTCAAATGCTTATTTGTTTTTTGTATTGCAATATAGATAGAAATTTAAAAATATCAAAAAAATTTAAATATATTAATAAGTATTTTCTTATATTCTCTTCTAAAAATATTGTATATATCTCAAGTATAGTTGCTAACTTGCTTAACTAATCATATTTAATGAGTATTATCTTGATGATATAATTTAATTCAAATCAGTTATGTATTATTTTCTTTGATTTTTTAAAGTTGTATTTTTAAATTTAATGAACTCTTCACATTTAGGATGGGCCTGTTATAGTTGATAGCAATCATGCTTTATTAGGACTTATTACCGTTGTAAAGTCATTGGCAGGTCAATCTAAGCAGTGCTTATTAGGTGAAGATGAACTAACACAAGCTGAAGTTGACCAATGGTTATATTTTTGTCAATTTAATTTAGCATCTGCCGATAGCTTTCAATTAAGAAATGCATTAAAAGTAAGCTGCTTTTATACTTCTTATTGTGTTTTTAATTTAAGTTTTAAACTAAAGTTTATTTTTTTTTTAAATTGTTTCTCAGTACAAATTTTTTTCTATTTTATATAATTAGGTAATAAAATAAAACATTATTAGTACTGTAAAGTTGACAAATTTGAAATTTGATAAATTTTATTGCATTAAATTTTTTACCTTTTGTTTTACTTTTTATGTTCTGAATAGCTTTTTCCTCAAAACATCTTTTACTCATAATTGCATAGAGTTATTGAATTTTTTTTAGGATTTAAACAAACATCTTGAAAGTCGCGCTTACATAGCTGGCTATAAGTTAACTTTAGCAGACATTTTCTTGTACATTTACATCCATAAAGAATATGTAAGCCATATGTTTTTAATTTTTTGTAAGTTTTATATTAACTTTAGATTAGTGATTGAAAATTCCCTGGCTTTTTCCATTCTGGGAATTCATTTGCAATGTTCCTATAAAAATTTATATAAAAAAACAAAACAAATAATTAAATACACTATTATATTTTTTTGCTTTATTTTTTAAACTGTTTTTATAATTTAAAGTGACTTCTTAGAAAAACAAAGTGCACCAAGATGACTGTCTGTCAATCTAATTCCAAAATTTGAAAAAACAAACAAAAAAAACAGTTAAATTCTTTTCAGCTTCTGCGCAAGACAAATAGTTAAAAGCATATTATTAAAAAAATCATTTGTTAGTAGCTTCAAATAAGTTGAATTCTTGATGCAAAGTTGATTTACTGCAGCTACAAATTTTGCTAATCTTACAACCATAGATTCAAATTTAATTGATTGATCTAAATTGATTTTAATAAATCAAAAAAATATTTTTTACTTCTTCAATTATTCATTCAATTATTCATTTAATTAATCTTTCAATTAAAAGGTTTAAACAGTTAGTTACATATAATGTCTTCTTTTATTTTTATTTTCATTTTTAAATTATAGATGTAAAAAAAAAAAAAAAAAAATGCTAAATAGTATTTAATTTTTAACAAAATATTTTTGATGATTTCCTCTTGTAAGTTTCAAATAGCTCAGACAAATTCATAATTGACTACTGAAAAAACACTATAGGCCAAAAATACAATTGCCTATACTCAGAGTTTTTGGAGTAGCTGTTCAGCTTTACATGAATAAAAATTTTAGCAAACTTGCTCAAATTTTTAATCATATAAAGCTAAGCAACTTACTCCAAAAATGCTCAGTAATTGTTTAGCTTTACATGAATAAAAATTCTAGCAAATTTAGTTTTTTTACATGAATAAAAATTCTTGCGAATTAAGTTTTTATTTATGTAAAGCTGACCAATTACTGAGTAAAAGCAATGGCCTTTTTTTATTCACTCGGCCTTATACATCATATATAGAGTTGGCAGATGTCTGGCTTTTACACAGTAAAAAAATTTATTTTTACAGGTTTGGCGCTGCATTCTTCTCCGTAAAAGCCAGACGTCTGGCAACCCTATTATATGGAAAGTTTTTGAATATTTAAGTATTTAAATATTTTAGTATTTTAAAGATAAAAATTTTAAAAACTTAAATAAAATTTTTATAATTTTCAATTTAAAAACTTAAAAACTTAAATAAAATTTTTTACATATTCGTATTTTTATTCATCTAATTTTATATTATAATTTTTATCATTAAATAAATTTAAAAGTTAAAAAAGTTATTTAAATCAATAGCTTTTAAACTAATAAAGCTTTAAAATTTTAATTAACTTTTAATTGAGAAACTTGGTTGGCTTGCTGATTTCCATCAAATGTTTGTTAAAAGAACTTTTGTTGCAATATGCTAATTTGGTCAATTCAATTTAAATAAGTAACGAAGGCATTTAAGGGGCAGAGTGAGAATCTTTCACCACACGAGGACAGCAGCTGAATTTAATAGGCACATTTAAATTTCTAGTATACTAGGTATTTAAGTGAAAATATATATTTAAATACAAAAATTAATTTTTTTTTTAATTTACGAATATAAAATATACGTAAATTAAAAAGAGTTTCTCTTAATAATTTTAGGTTTTTCTCGAAATACTTAATAAGCATCATAAGGCGTTTTGAAAAATGACTGCAGTATTAATAAGGGAATAACTGACATCAATTAAAAATTAAAAAGATCTTGCTTGTTAATGGCAACACTTTTTTATACATTAAAAAAAATCAATCAACTTTATTCTTTTCTATGTCATACGTACTAATTGCGTTTTTTACATGTCTAGCGTAACACTTTGAATCTAAGACCGAATAATTTTTTTTTTAATATGATCTTATGAACCTCTGGGAATTTCCCAATTAGCACACAGGCGTCGTCCATAACACATCCAAGGGTGCCCAAAACGTTTCGTTCGGATGTCCAAAACAGTCTGTTTAGAGGTCCATAATAGATGCTATTGGAGGTCCTACTGATGTTTAAAGTTTGTCCATTCATTCAACGTTTAATTTTTTCAGCTTTTTCTCAAAATGGCACTATTTTAAACAACTATAAAAAATGGAGTCTTGATATAAAAAATGAAATCTTTTTTTTTTCAAAATGACTAAATTTAATATACACGTAATTAGGGATTCAACACATGTGGTAACCCTCATTAGGATAATAAAAAGGTTATTGCATAGATAATTAAATCCAAGTATTGACTCAAATCATTACAAAAGCATAAAAATAATAGTATTTTTAACAATAACATTATATAAATACAATCAAACAAAAACATTACAATTTGGCTCGTTTTAATATGTCGCCAATGGCACACTCAATGTTGCTTGCATCATAACCAATTTTGTCACCACCAATAGTATCTAAAGAAATAATATTTATCGCAAAATTGTCTGTCAATCATAGACCATGTTTTAGAAAATCAAAAATAAACAATTAAATTCAAAAGCAAGTTAAAAAAACATTGCTTTTGAAATTAATTGTTAAAAAGTCAACAAACTAAAAAGCCACGCTCAGCATTTTCCAAAAAAAGTATACATATAACAGAGTTATATGTATACTTTTTTTGGAAAATGCTGCAAAATAATAATTTAATCTTAAAAGTTAAAAGTTAAAAAATATGTATGTCAAGGGGAAAAATATATGTACATTATTAACACAATAATTATGTTTGATTATTTAAATAAAATTTAAATTACATTTGTTATTTGTGTTTAGAAAAGCGTATCTTTTGCTGAAAAAGAAAATTTCATGAACGTATCACGCTGGTTTAACCAGGTAAAGCATGTTGTTTTTATTTGAAGTAATTTGCATTATTTAAAAAGTAATTGGTGATTATTTAGAAAGGTCTTGGGACTAAAGTGTCAGTAAGGGAATTTAAAAATTTCAGTTTCATAAAAAGTTTTTACAATGTAAAAAAGTCCTTAAATTTCTCCTGTATTTAAAGAGTCACAAATATTTATATATAATTACTTAAAATGTTTGTTAATATAGGTTCAGCACATTCCTCATTTACAGCAGAAGCTGCAGAATGTTTTGTTCCATCGTACCAAGCTTTATTAGCATTGTTGTTGTTCATGTAAATTGTATGTAACAAGTTTGTGAAAATTATGAATTAAAAAGATTGATTAAGCAAAGTTAGTATCTTTCTTTTTGGATTTTAAAGTAAGTTGGAGTATAACAAGGGGGAGTATAACAAGGGTGATAAGCTGAAGCTATTAGAATCAGAGATTTTTAGTGCTGGTGCGGATGCCAATAAAAACAGGAGGTTTTTGGTGGAGTTAAAGCTATTAAAAAAATGACTGGATCTAATCATATTTATACGATTTACTTTCACAAATAAATTTATAGTTTTTTTATTAGTTTTGTAACCATTTTATTCACATCCTGTGAAATTCACAATCAATTATATCTCTAAAGGTCAAAAAAATCCTTTTATGGAAGAATTAAGTACATTTAGAGGTTCTTTTTAAAAAAATTAATTTTATCTATGCTAAATTTTTGCCATTTAAGCAGCTGCCTCTTGCATTTTATAATTTAAGTTTTACATGATAAATTTCATTAAAAATTACATTTTGTGTTTTAAAGTTTGCATAACTTTAAAACACAAAATGTATTTTTTAATGAAATTTGAGCTCTATTGCTAATTTCTAATTTAATTTAAGAATGCAAGTACTATTAAAAATAATGTTCTGTTTACACCCACTAGACATGCGGTTTAGGGGGTTTTTAAAAATTTATTATGCGTACTTAGATATAACAACAAAATTTATTATATATTTTTGAGTCAAACAACTGTTTGGTAACTGAAATAAATTATGTTAAATAAATGTTATATACAAAAATTACATATAAATATTTATCTTGTTTTGTGTTTCTGTGTATATAATGATTTAATATTGTTAATGATTATTATGATGTCAATAAAAAATTTCTTATATTGAGTAAGTTTTTCCAAAAGCTTTTATATCATGTTAACTTATTGTAAGTATGTTAAATATTTTAACATTAAAAATGTGAGATTTTTTTTTGATATTTTGGAAAAGATTATTTTTTTAGCGACGATGAACATATAATTATCATCAAAGATTTTTTTATCGATTATTTATTTGTTTATGTTTATATTGAAAATATAAAATATTATCTAATAAATTCATAAAATTTTTTCCGGAATATTAAATGTCTTTATTTTTTAGTAAATGAAGTAGCAATTTATTTAATACTCCAAAATGGATGCAGGGGAGAGTTCAATATGTTTCCTTCCATATGAGCTACCAACTTTTGATAACTGGAGTCCTATTGCTACATTTTATCATCCATTAATGGCAGGTAGTATTGATGGTACTGATACAGTTCCACATGATAAGGCTGTCATTCGAGCATCAAAGTCAGTTTACAAACCGAATAAAAAAGTAGGTTTTGTTATAGGAAAGGATGTATTTAGATTTTTTCAAGGTTTTATTTAGATTAATTTAAGGTTTGTTTAGGTTTTTATGTCATTTATTATTTAATGCTTACTTTGTGAATATCTATTTTACTTGTAATTTATTACTCAAAAGTTTAATGGTGGTTTATTATACATTTATGTTTTTAAGGTTACTGGTGATCCACGTAAAACGATCATGGTACGTCATTTGTCATTGACTACGAATGAATCCACTATTAAACAAATTTTTCAGAGGTTTGGAGAAATTAGAAAATGTCGCTTAGTTAGAGATATTATTACTGGTAATAGTCGTTGTTACGCTTTTATTGAGTATAGCCATGAACGAGATGCAAGGCATGCTTCTCGTGAAACAAAAGATTTAATTATAGACGAGTGTAAAGTAACTATTGACTTTGAATGTAGTCGTACTTTACCTGGTTGGATACCTAGAAGATTCGGTGGAGGGTTTGGAGGCAAAAAAGAATCTGGACAACTTCGTTTTGGTGGTATCGAACGACCATTTCGGAGACCGATACCTTTAAACTCAAAACGTGTAAACGACTGTCGTGGCATAAAGAGAGATATTCCTGCAGAGACAGGTTCTAAAAGAGAAGAGAACCTTTCTAAAAAGTATCGTGTATGATATTAAATTGCTTAAGATTGGTGCATGGTATCATTGAAAATAATTTTATATTTTTACTAAAGATGTATTTTAATTTCTAACTGTAGTAATATTCTGTAATATAAACTCAAAAGTTTATGTAATCTATGAACCATAAACATAATTTGTGTCTTTTTTTTCGCTAATCAAATGGAATTAAACAAAAAAAAATAATTTATTTAATAAACTCTATCGATACTGTCTCATTCAATAGTATCCTCTTATTCATTTTCGACTAATACATAATTAAAACATTATTCTAATTTATATATTGTAATTAAAATCAGTGGCGGCGCCAGTATTTTTTGGTCTTTAAAATAGCTAACTTCCAGAACTTGCAAAAAATTACGATGATTGGAACTTGGGAACAAAAAAACCACAAAAATTTGGCCGACACTGCCCCAAACGCGAGAGCATTAAGTTGATGAAATAGTTTTTGTACTATTTTCAACTAGACTTATATTTATCGTAAACTTTAAGTTTCATAGTATTATCTCTCAGCGTTCAAAAATTATGACCATATAAACCCCCTCAAATTAAGGGGGGAGGGGGTTAAACTGTATATAGTCATAATTTTTGAACGCTGAGAGATACTATAAAGCTTAAAATTTGTCGATAAATATAAGTCTATATCGATAAATATAAGTCTAGTTAAAAAAAAGTACAAAAACTATTTCATCAACCTGTTGCCTCTCACGTTTGGGGCAGTGTCGGCCAAGTTTTTGGGATTTTTTTGTTCCCAAGCTCCAATCATCGTAGTTTTTGACAAACATTGAAAGGCTCACACTCATGTTTGACCATAAAGACAGAGTTTCTCAATGACAGCTGAAAAGTTCAACTGTACTTAGAAATAAATCAGTAAAACAAATAAAAAACAAACAAATATTAAATTAAGAAAAAAAAATGACGGTTCCAAAACGCTCTGACCAGCAAAAAGCAGTAGCTAGAACTAAGTGCAGTCGATTGTGACAGAAATTCAAAAATCGTAAACCAATCATTGACGATGAGTCTAATTTCACGTTAAATCACTCCAGTATAAAGGAAAATGATTTTATACTAGTGATGTAAAATCTACTCCATCTACAGTTAAATACAAAACAAAAAGTTTCAAAAGAAATTACTTTTATGGATTGCTTTTTCTGAAAATGGAATTTCTCAACCTTATTATGTACCAAGTAGACCTTATTATGTACCAACCTTATTATGTACCAAGTATCATTCAGATGCATGTGTATTCTGGCCAGATTTAGTATCATCTTACTATACAAAAACTGTAATCACTTAAATAAGAAAAACGTGCATTAAATTAAGAAAGCGGTAAGAGTTGAGATTACCCTGTAATCTTGCCAGAATGTCGTCCTATCGAAAATTTTTGGAGTATTTTGAAAAACCTTGTCTACAAGAGTAATTGGCATGCAGAAAATCTTTAAAAAATACGTTCTAGAATCAAGTATTGCCTTAAAATTGATATTGAGCTCATGCGGAGACTAGCTCAGTCTATACTAGGCCTAGTTGATTAAGTCAGGAGAAATTGTTTAATTGAGAACAACTAATTATATATTTAAAAACTAAATTAAAAATACTTTCTAGAACATTTTTCCTTTTTGCTTTATCTTATTTCTTTAAAGAGATATGTGTCTTTAAATCCAGTCTCGTTTTTTAGTTGTTACTCGTTATAAAATACCAGTTCTAGAGACACCAATATTACTGAAATAGTTGGATTAAAATAAAGTTCATTGTAACAACTTCTTTTATAAGTAAAAAAAAAATATTTACAAATTTAAGAAAATATATAAAACCTCTACTGAACAGACAAATTAAAGGAAATTAATTAAAAATTTTAATAGAAAAAAAAAAGAAACTGGGTAAAGCTTTTTTTT